TAGTTCTCTGACCTGTGGCTGGTTACTTCCAGGTTGATTTCCTGCTATAATGTTATTGTTTACTATTCTCCATTTTAAACTGGATAGATTGAAGCCTTCCAAAAAAGAAAATATCTGGTGCTGGGTTTGCTAGGTTATCAAGGATATTCTCTATTTTGTGGATCTGCTCAGTGAATTCTTCAACTGTTGCATCTGGCGGTTTGTATATTAGAATAATAATTTGATTCATGTTTTCTACATTGATTCCAAGTACCTCTACCACCTCATTTGTCGAGTTCAGGAGCTCTGTGCATGCCAGTTCCTCTTTAATATTCAGACCTACTCCTCCACTTGACTTAATTACTCACATCTATATAAATTATAATTTGGGATCCATATTTCACTATACATTTAGTCTTTCGTTTGGGTTTCTGTAAATGCGCCAAATATTGAGTTTGATTCCATTAGAAGGCCATTTAAGAACTTAACTTTATTTTTTTATTTTGACTTTAGGCCTCGTATGTTTGCAAATATGAATGATTTCCCACATTGTGTGTCCCTTCTGGTGGGCTTTGGTAGTTCTCCCCCCCCCTCTCCACCCATGTCCAGGGTGTGTTGTTTTGATAGTGGTTCGTCCATTGTTGGTGGTAGTGCGGTGGTTGTGTGGTGTAGTACCTGTGTGCTTGTTGATGACTTGTATTGCAGTCTTGTTTGTATCTCCCTTCCCCTCTGTAATCCTGCAGTCATTCTATCTGCATGTTCCCCTCTCTTCTATGTTCTACTCTGTTTCTGCCTTCCTCTAAAAAATTTCCAGTACTTTCATATTGATCTTCCCGTCTATTACGCTGTGTACCTCTCACCTGGAGTTCCGGGTACTGAAAATTGTAGCATATTTTTTATCAACTGAAGATTTATATAGTTTAGGGTGGAAATATCTGCACTTTGTTTCAAAGCGGCATGTACCCCTCGCCAACATGTTCCTGCATTTTCGAGGATGCGGAAAAGTGCATTTTACACCACTTTTCCCATATTTGCAGATGCATTGTGCATAGAATTTACAAATATTCTCAGTTTTTATTTTATCCTGTTTATTGTGGCTGTCTTGGCCGCCTCTGTATTGGAGCCATCTCAGTTTTTCATCCCGATTCCTTCGTTACACTTCGTTGCACCCATCCCCCCCCCCCCCGGTACCTGTCCACCACCCATCCGCCCCTCCCTCTTGTACTTGTCCGCCCCCCAGCCTACCCCCCACCTTGTACTTGTCCTTGCATCTCTCCTAAAGAACTATATAATCACCACCAAAGGATAAGTGACGTACGGGCTCACCATAGCCCGTGCTACTGGAACTTATCGTTCTGAGTAGCGAATCTTAAACAACAACAACAACAACAACGATAAGTGACGGACGGGAGGCATCTCCTGTCCACGAGGCTAACCATAGCCCGTGCTTCTTGCCCCGCTCCTGTGCCAGGTAAGTTACGGGCTCACCATAGCCCGTGCTTCTTGCCCCGCTCCTGTGCCAGGTAAGTTACGGGCTCACCATAGCCCGTGCTTCTTGCCCCGCTCCTGTGCCAGGTAAGTTACGGGCTCACCATAGCCCGTGCTTCTTGCCCCGCTCCTGTGCCAGGTAAGTTACGGGCTCACCATAGCCCGTGCTTCTTGCCCCGCTCTTGTGCCAGGTAAGTTACGGGCTCACCATAGCCCGTGCTACTTGCCCCGCTCTTGTGCCAGGTAGCTGGATCTATAACAACAACAACAGATAAGTGACCGGCCATAAACTACAATTGAGAATAATTTACATGATATCATTCATACCGACTCGAAATCTTCGCTCCAGGCATTGTTATCCAGTCAGCACAGAAATAATATACAACTCCTCCCAGAAATCCAACATATAGGAAAAGAAGCCCATAATCTAGGGTTGTCAATCACGCAAAATTGGATACCAAGTCACATTGGCATAGATGGTAATGAAAAGGCAGACTCACTAGCAAAAACTGCCACTGCTCTACCTGTTGTACAGGTTCAAATGCCTCCAAGTTTTTCACATTAAGGAGCAAATCAAGAAGAAAATATTCTCAACTATCAAAAGTCACCACAGAGCCAAAGTAGCGGAAGGAAGATCCACTGCGATATGGTACGAACAAGCCACTGAGTACTACTCTTTCATGCCTGACAAAAAGATATCCAGAGACATTGCAGTAGCCATACACAGACTCAGACTTGGTTACAAGTGCTGCTGGGAGGTAATGAACCCAATAGTTAAAGAGTGTCACATCTGTGGAACAGAAGCAGAGGCGCCACTATTGCACTACTTACTGGAATGTGAAGCTACTGAAGCCCTGAGCATCAAACTATACATTAATCCAACGACAGCAGCTGTATTAGATGCAAAATCCTGAGTGACTACAATGGTCAGAAAAGCCGTTAAAGAATGGGACTCACTAGTGAACATTCTGCACCTACATCCGCCACCAAGATAATTGTATTAAAACACGACTAAAACAGAAGTGAAAAAGTAACAGGGAAAAAGGGGAAAACTCCACTTCCATGTAAAACTTTGACCCAAATATCACAGTAACAAGGTTATCGCGAATAACCGAACTCAATCACGGGCTCACCATAGCCCGTGCTACATGGACATTTCGTTCAGAGTAGCTAGATCTAAAAACAACAACAAAGATAAGTGACCCAGTTACAGCCCCGCTCCTGTGCCAGATAAGTCCACTACGGGCTCACCATAGCCCGTGCTACTTGGAACTTGTTCCTTGTGCTGAATCTTAAACAACAACGATAAGTGACCTTGTTAGGGGCTCGCTATAGCCCGTGCTACAGGGACATTTCGTTCAGAGTAGGTAATCAAAAAACCAACATACTTTACTAAGCGGGAAAATTAATCCCCGGAAAGAGTAGTTGGGTTTAGTCCCAGTCACGTGGGACCGACGGGCCGCCGCCACTCGTCCCATCATCTTCAGGACCTGGTGGGAACCTGTATGGCAATCAAGTGTAAACTTGTGCTCCTGAATACTTAGCTGTTGTACACCGAGTGAGGAAACCCGTTTCTGAAGGTTTTCGAACCTTATTTTGTACACGTCTTGGAACGTGTACAGAGTAATAAGGGTTGGTTTATTATTAAGCCATCGGGAGGCACTTGAGTACTTTTGATGTATGTAATGTTTGCAGCTCGTCGTCGTCATCATCAAAGGCCAAATGCTCGTTACTCCAGCAGCCCCACACACTATCAACGAAAAATGGTTTAAACGCGTCTCGCTAACGATAACTTCCGCCAACCCGTCCTCAGACCAAGTCCATTCCATCCAGCGGTCGACCCTGAAGACGTATTCATCAATTGTAACATGCTGTTTATTCACAATAGGAATGTTCAAATATCTATCAAAATAGTTAAACATATTTAGGCATAGGTCTAGGCTCTGTTGGAGATTATTTGTATTACGTGGGAGAAGCATTACAGCGTTGTGGTTCGAACAAAAGTCGTCAGCGGAGTAGTGTGTAAACCGACCGTCCTCCAAACAGACCCAAAAGTGATTAAATGCACCCGCCAGACCCGCTGTTTATGAATGAAAAACGGTTTTCACACGACTCGACTGATGACGTTTGAATACTTCCGGAACAAGTGTTTCACTGACTTTTTTTTTTTGAACCACAACGCTGTAAATGCTTCACCCACGTACTACAAATAATCGCCAAGAGCCTATGCACCTAACCTAACCTATACATGCACAATATGCCAATATATATATTTGAGACCATTCCCGTTTTGAGTGAACAGCATGTACAAATTTATGAATGCGTCTGTGGGGTCGACCGCTGGATGTAATGGACTAGTCGAGGACGGGTTGTATAATTCCCAGTTGACCTAAACACCTATGCCTAACTACACACACACAACTTTTAACTTACACATTAGAAACCTATTTGTAACACATAATACTTTACAAATTATAAAGAGAGTTGTGGGGAGAGGGAGGGATAGTCTCCTCTAACGGAGCCTAGCTAGAGGCAAGTTTAAGTAGTCTACATGTGCAAGTCATGTTCCTAAGCTGTAAACCAATGAAATCGGCAATTTTGCTAAATGCGGATCAATTTCAATTGTCATTTTATGCAACGTGTACCAACATGTTCAGTACAATGTTCTGCGTGTACACCGACACCTCATTTATAATGGTGTGCCTTAGTCTATGCGCACTGCCCAGCCGGCCTCCGTTCTTTCAGGTCTGTGTTCAATCCCCGAGCGTCAAGTGGTGGTTCGACATTTCTTTCTTGCCACCCTATCCTTATCCTAGCAGCCCTTCCAAGTACTGTACACTCGTTACGGCAATGTGCTTTCTCCTGGCAGTTAACTGTACCCTCTCTGCACCCTTGGCACCGTGGTGTACCCCCCCCACCCTAAGCACTGTACCTGCAGAGGGTTTCTATAGTAGTTCTACTCCGCGAGCCCGGCCTGAGGCCAGGTTCGTCTTCTGATAATTTTGTCCACCAGGCTGTTGCTTGCAGCTGCCCGCAGGCCCACATAACCACCACCACAGCCCGACGGGTGTACATCCCTACACCCTAGGCACTAGTGAACACACCCGGCCCTAAGCACGATAGTTAATAAATAATGGCGACATCCTCCCCCCTGCTTGGGTTGAGCTGTACGTATTGCATGTATTATGTATTTACTACATACAAAGACCAGCCGGAATGAAGTATACATAGAACTCGTTCCTCTTAAGTTTTCACATCAGCCGTTACTCTACAGGTCTGGTTGCCTTGCGATATTTTCGTGGCTCTGCGTCCCCGCGGCCCGATCTCTGAGCAGGCCTAGTAGTGGCACGTGTCTGGTTGAAGACCTTCAAAACTTGTCATGTTATGATCTATAACTCGTTGCACAATTAGCAAGGCTCTACAACCCGAGCCCATTTACCGTCCCGGTGCACTTGAGAACTTACCAGAACTCAGCGTCCTGAGCTCACTTTGGAAGCAATTATCCGCGCTGGCTTTTGGTATACATACAAAAGTTCTTAATGACAAGTTTTATTTGCACAAAATATAAGTTACGGCTGCCATTGTATACAATAAAATTATGTAAAAATATATTGCACATACTATAAAAAAAAAATTGCTAGACTGACAATATTGTGGTCGGCAGGTCTTTTATTTCCGCCTTATCACAGACTTCAAAGTCCTACTACTACAGCAAACCTAATATTTACAACATTTTGTAGCGATGGCTCCGTCCAAAATCACAATTAACAGAGGACAAACATTGGCCCTCAGGTCAAGTAGTAAAAGGGTCACCCACTCCTGAACTCTCTACATGCGGCAGAGACGCCGATGGTGACGGGATTGTCACACTGTCTTCACGCAGACACCAACCCCACACTTGGACAGTAGTGTGGACGTCTTTTTTCCAACACCGCCGCCGCCGCCAAGGACGAGGACCTTCGCTGCTGCCAGCCGCTTTCTCGTTGTTAGCGAGGCACAACTGTAGTCAATATGGAGACACGCCGCCGGCCACACCCTGCACTCGTGCACCGACCTCTTCATATAGTGGTTCACGGTATGCAAGGGAGGTTCTCCTGCGACGACCCCGCGCTCCCGTAGGTCGAGTCGCACTCATCAGGATGAGAGAGTAGAGACTGGCGCTCCTCTTTTGTCTGAGAGAGACTTTCGTGTATGCTAACATGCATCATCTCTCTGCCACTTCCCTTGTAGCATATGAAGATCCCCAGGGCCGTGGCCACAAGGGCATGGAGCGCCGCTATGCACACGGATGCCCACTTGAAGCCCACCAGGTCCATTAGCACGCCTCCGACCGATGGCCCAATGAAGCATCCGAGTGCAAACGTCGATGTCCAGATGCCTGACACCAGACCGTAAGTACCGAGGTCATCAGGGAAGCCATTGGCTATGACGTCCCGATGACAGCCGGAGAAGGTGGACACCAACACTGCCCCGAAGCCGATGCCGTGGACGACGAGCGCGCCGATACACAGTGGTAACGTTGTCTCCAGTGGCAGGAACGGCATTGGCCCCACGAACGTAAAAGCAATTACCACCATAACCGTTCCAAGCGTAGTAATAATTCGCGGCGGTATCACCTTGTCACAGAGCGAGCCCCAGCAGGGCGCCGTCAAGGCGTACATGGACCCACTCACCACGAACATGAGTCCGACCTTGAAGGGCGAGAGGTGCAGGACGCGCAGATGGGGCTCCAGCGTCGCCTGCATGAAGCCGATGCTGATGGACGACGACAGGAGAGCTAGACACATAAGAACGATGGAGGGAAGCTTTAGGGCCGCCAGAAACTGTCCACGAGAGCCTAGGGCTTCAGGCGCGGCATCGGCGCCTGTGCTGGGGAGGAGGCAGCTGGTCATAACCGCCGCCCCCAGCAACAACCCGCCCAGGGACACGAAGGGGAGAGTGTAGCCGCCCAGCTCATACAGCGCCCCGCCCACCGTCGGTCCGATGATCAGACCCAACCCGAAGAACGTCTCCATGGTCGCAAACGCTGACCCAACGTTCTTGGGGAACTCCTTGGCGATGATGCTGAAGGCGGAGGTCACGAACGCCGCGTTGCCCATCGCCTCTACTATCCTGATGGCGAACGAGAACCCGATAAACAGTGAAGTGTCGTTCATACGGTCGAGGAACCCGAAGAGGATGCACATGACCGACACGGTGAAGATCCCGGCGTTGTTGATGAACTTGGGTCCCCAGGAGCTCATGTACTTCCCATAGATGGGGCTCACTAGGAACACCGTCAGCTCGAAGACGCCGAACACCAGCCCATACTGGGAGGCGGTGGCGCCCTTCTTCTCGGCCTCCGCCGGGTAGAACGGTGCCTGGAGGGACACGCAGATGGCGTTGCACAGTTGGGCCAGGCTAAACACCGCTAGCGTGACCCACTGTCTCTTCGTGTAGCCGGACATCGTTGCAGTAATGCAGTATTTCGATCGTCTTTACAATCTTGTCGCAATATATATAACGGGCACCGGGTTTTCCGCACACTCGCTGGTAGTAGTGGACAGGTATCGCTTGATCACACGACGCTCCTCTTGTCTAGGACGGTGAAGTTTAAGCGAGGAGGGTCAGTGGCAGAGCAACAGGTGTGAAGCACTCTGAGACAGAGTGAGCGAGTGTGCGACCCTTCCCGTGGTTGTGGTGTGACTGCCCGTCCGCCGCCCGCCGACCTCCTCTTCCCGCCTCCCACTGCCAGCTGCGCGACAACACACACACTCCCCTCGTTATCGCCGCCTTAATGGCCTATTTTGCTCATAATCTCTTGTAATTAGCGGTTACAAATGGGAATGACGCAGAACAAGACATATCGGCACCAATGCACACATCACCAACACTCGAGACATTTAGGCTCAGTTGTGGCGCAATACACAGGAAAGGTGTTTTACAAGGAGACAATAGCCTGGTGCAGTAGCTTCTGCTAGAGCAGAAACAGCTCAGCAACAGCAGGAACCACCGCCCCCACCTGCTGCCAGCAGGCACCCAACACCTCTCTACATAACCCCCCACTCTGCCTCTACACACCCCCACTCTGCCTCTACACACACCCACACTCTGCCTCTACACACACCCACACTCTGCCTCTACACACCCACACTCTGCCTCTACACCCCCCACTCTGCCCCTACATACCCCACACTCTGCCCCTACATACCCCACACTCTGCCTCTACACACCCCCCCTCTGCCTCTACACACCCCCCTCTGCCTCTACACACACACCCCCCTCTGCCTCTACACACACCCCCCTCTGCCTCTACACACACCCCCCTCTGCCTCTACACACACCCCCCTCTGCCTCTACACACCCCACACTCTGCCTCTACACACCCCACATTCTGCCTCTACACACACCCCCCCTCTACCTCTACAAACCCCCACTCTGCCTCTACACCCCCCCCACTCTGCCTCTACACACCCCCATCTGCCTCTACACACACCCCTCTGCCTCTACACACCCCCACACTCTGCCTCTACACACACACCCCCTCTGCCTCTACACACCCCCACACTCTGCCTCTACACCCCCCCACACTCTGCCTCTACACACACACCCCCTCTGCCTCTACACACCCCCACACTCTGCCTCTACACACACACCCCCTCTGCCTCTACACACCCCCACACTCTGCCTCTACACACCCCCACACTCTGCCTCTACACACCCCCACACTCTGCCTCTACACACACACCCCCTCTGCCTCTACACACACACCCCCCTCTGCCTCTACACACCCCCACACTCTGCCTCTACACACCCCCACACTCTGCCTCTACACACACACACCCCCTCTGCCTCTACACACCCCCACACTCTGCCTCTACACACCCCCACACTCTGCCTCTACACACACACCCCCTCTGCCTCTACACACCCCCACACTCTGCCTCTACACACACCCCCCTCTGCCTCTACACACCCCACACTCTGCCTCTACACACCCCCCACACTCTGCCTCTACACACACCCCACATTCTGCCTCTACACACACCCCCCCTCTGCCTCTACAAACCCCCACTCTGCCTCTACACCCCCCCCCACTCTGCCTCTACACACCCACACTCTGCCTCTAAACACACCCCCCACTCTGCCTCTAAACACACCCCCCACTCTGCCTCTACACACCCCCACACTCTGCCTCTACACACCCCCACACTCTGCCTCTACACACCCCCCCACTCTGCCTCTACACACCCCCCACACTCTGCCTCTACACACCCACACTCTGCCTCTACACACGCCCCACACTCTGCCTCTACACACACCCCCACTCTGCCTCTACACACCCCCACACTCTGCCTCTACACACCCCCCACTCTGCCTCTACACACCCCCCACACTCTGCCTCTACACACCCCCCACACTCTGCCTCTACACACCCCCCACACTCTGCCTCTACACACCCCCACACTCTGCCTCTACACACCCCCACACTCTGCCTCTACACACCCCCCACACTCTGCCTCTACACACCCCCCACACTCTGCCTCTACACACCCCCCACACTCTGCCTCTACACACGCCCCACACTCTGCCTCTACACACACCCCCACTCTGCCTCTACACACACCCCCACTCTGCCTCTACACACCCCCACACTCTGCCTCTACACACCCCCCACTCTGCCTCTACACACCCCCCACACTCTGCCTCTACACACCCCCCACACTCTGCCTCTACACACCCCACACTCTGCCTCTACACACCCCCCACACTCTGCCTCTACACACCCACACTCTGCCTCTACACACCCACACTCTGCCTCTACACACACACCCCCCCACTCTGCCTCTACACACCCACACTCTGCCTCTACACACCCCCCCACTCTGCCTCTTCACACCCACACTCTGCCTCTACACACCCCACACTCTGCCTCTACACACACCCCCCCACTCTGCCTCTACACACCCACACTCTGCCTCTACACACCCACACTCTGACTCTACACACCCCCCACTCTGCCTCTACACACCCACACTCTGCCTCTACACACCCACACTCTGCCTCTACACACCCACACTCTGCCTCTACACACACCCCCCACTCTGCCTCTACACACCCACACTCTGCCTCTACACACCCACACTCTGCCTCTACACACCCCCCACTCTGCCTCTACACACCCACACTCTGCCTCTACACACCCACACTCTGCCTCTACACACACCCCCCCACTCTGCCTCTACACACCCACACTCTGCCTCTACACACCCACACTCTGCCTCTACACACCCCCCACTCTGCCTCTACACACCCACACTCTGCCTCTACACACCCACACTCTGCCTCTACACACCCACACTCTGCCTCTACACACACCCCCCCACTCTGCCTCTACACACCCCACACTCTGCCTCTACACACCCCCCACACTCTGCCTCTACACACCCCCCACACTCTGCCTCTACACACCCCCCACACTCTGCCTCTACACACCCCCCACACTCTGCCTCTACACACACCCACACTCTGCCTCTACACACCCACACTCTGCCTCTACACACCCACCTCTGCCTGTACCACCCACACTCTGCCTCTACACACCCACACTCTGCCTCTACACACCCCCACTCTGCCTCTACACACCCACACTCTGCCTCTACACACCCACCACTCTGCCTCTACACACACTCTGCCTCTACCTGCCTCTACACACCCACCTCTGCCTCTACACACCCACACTCTGCCTCTACACACCCACACTCTGCCTCTACACACACCCCCTCACTCTGCCTCTACACACCCACACTCTGCCTCTACACACCCACACTCTGCCTCTACACACCCACACTCTGCCTCTACACACCCCCCTCTACAGGGTAACAACAACAGAGGCTCTTGAGCCTCACTCTCATGTACGACGCTTCTGGTGACGTCACTTCTGGCGCTGTACTCAAGGCTGCTTTATTATGTTCATTGTTAGCACAAGAATTAATAATAATAAATACTCACATCTGTAACTGTTACAGTTGTGTAACTGTTACAGTTGTGTAACTGTTACAGTTGTGTAACTGTCACAGTTGTGTAACTGTCACAGTTGTGTAACTGTCACAGTTGTGTAACTGTCACAGTTGTGTAACTGTTACAGTTGTGTAACTGTTACAGTTGTGTAACTGTTACAGTTGTGTAACTGTTACATCAGTGTAACTGTCACATCAGTGTAACTGTCACAGTTGTGTAACTGTTACAGTTGTGTAACTGTTACAGTTGTGTAACTGTTACAGTTGTGTAACTGTTACAGTTGTGTAACTGTCACAGTTGTGTAACTGTTACAGTTGTGTAACTGTTACAGTTGTGTAACTGTTACAGTTGTGTAACTGTTACAGTTGTGTAACTGTCACAGTTGTGTAACTGTCACAGTTGTGTAACTGTTACAGTTGTGTAACTGTCACATCAGTGTAACTGTCACATCAGTGTAACTGTCACATCAGTGTAACTGTCACATCAGTGTAACTGTCACATCAGTGTAACTGTCACATCAGTGTAACTGTCACATCAGTGTAACTGTCACATCAGTGTAACTGTCACATCAGTGTAACTGTCACATCAGTGTAACTGTCACATCAGTGTAACTGTCACATCAGTGTAACTGTCACATCAGTGTAACTGTCACATCAGTGTAACTGTCACATCAGTGTAACTGTCACATCAGTGTAACTGTCACATCAGTGTAACTGTCACATCAGTGTAACTGTCACATCAGTGTAACTGTCACATCAGTGTAACTGTCACATCAGTGTAACTGTCACATCAGTGTAACTGTCACATCAGTGTAACTGTCACATCAGTGTAACTGTCACATCAGTGTAACTGTCATACAGTGTAACTGTCACAGTCTGTCAGTCAGTAACTGTCACATCAGTGTAACTGTCACATCAGTGTAACTGTCAGATCAGTGTAACTGTCAGATCAGTGTAACTGTCACATCAGTGTAACTGTCAGATCAGTGTAACTGTCACATCAGTGTAACTGTCACATCAGTGTAACTGTCAGATCAGTGTAACTGTCACATCAGTGTAACTGTCACATCAGTGTAACTGTCACATCAGTGTAACTGTCACATCAGTGTAACTGTCACATCAGTGTAACTGTCACATCAGTGTAACTGTCACATCAGTGTAACTGTCACATCAGTGTAACTGTCACATCAGTGTAACGGTTGTCAGCACCCTACACAGTGTGGCAGCAATGGTTGGATACTCACTAACCTGACCTGAGACCATTCATTAACTTCATAATGTAGTATACATTTACTGGCGCAGTTTACACAATACACGACCATTATTCATCTACAGAATAACAAATGAATAATGACAGTTCCACAAAGTCCCACTACCAGACCTGGACACGCCATTGCCACCACAACACACCCTGGGTCAACCGTCAATCCTGTTGATTGACGGTTGAGAGGCGGGACCAAAGAGCTAAAGCTCAACCCCCGCAAGCACAACTAGGTGAGTACAACTAGGTGAGTATACCCTGGGTCAGGGTAGAGAGGAGGGAGAACCACCAAAACCTTCCAGAAGTGACACACAATATGGACAATCATTCATATTTGTCAACATTCAAGGTTTAAAGCCAAAGTCAAGAAATAAAGTCAAGAAATAAAGTCAAGTTCATCAATGGCCTCCTATTAGAGTCAAACTCAATATTTGGGGCATTCAAGGTAACTCATACGAA